TTTCAAGTTAAAATAATATGTTATGTTTAATAAAATTATTTAAAAATTAAAATTGATTAAAAATAAAAAATATTTTTAAAAAAGTTTCGGGTATTCGAGTCGGCCCGAATAAGCTCGAAACCCGAGGGTGTGTTAGGGTTGGGGTTGGTTATAGGGCTTTTTGAAAGAGTAAGATTTTTTAATTCGACCTAATTGAATCCGACCTAAATAAATTCGATTCGTCTGAATTACCCGCTCTAAAGCCAAGTTATTTGAGCTAAGAGGAGTCATTTTAACTTAAATCCACGGAGGTTTTCTTGCAAAAAAAAAAAAAGGTAGAGAAGGATTTGCTTAAGCACGCCAGGCTTCGGCAAGACGGCAAAAGTGAAAAAAACAAAAAATGAGAAAAACCATAATTAGTGGCCCTAAAAAAATTGAATATGGGGCTATGGGACACTGCCGTTCTACTACACCGTACACACGTTTCTACACAATTACTTTTCTAATTTTTCAGCATTGCCGGTTCCAATCAATTCAAAAGTATCTCAAATGCTTCAATATTTTGTCTAACAAAACTAAAAATGTTTTTCTTCAGCAAATTCGACACAGCACTCTTGGCATGCCACCAATTCATCAAAAAACACTGCAATTTTTCAACAATCAATAGAGTATTAATTTCTAGCAGAACAATATTAAAAGCACACCAGCGTTTTTTTTTTTACCACCTTTTCATCTTATATTTTGTTATAATTTTTTTTTACCATTATAATATCATGTATCCTCTCAGCATGCAAGCCTCACATAGTTATCTATTTTTATTCCTTTATTTCATTTATTTTTAAGTACTTGTATTTAAAAAAACTGTGATAAAGGGCCTCAAGAACGCACCCTTTGTTTACATGTCAGTTAAATTACATCTTTTGATGACACACTCTTCTAACATGTTGGGACAAAACTATCAAATAATATGATACATGAAAATTATAAAAATTTAAAATAATTAAATATTAAATTATTTTTTATAAAAGCAAGAAAGACACCATAAAAATTAAATTAGCTAACTAATAATCAGTAGCAAAGACATCATCAAATTCGAGATCTACGCCTCATCAACCTGCACTTCTTCATCTCGATGTCAATCTATGCTTCTTCGTCCTCCTTCTCTCATCATCAACCTGTCGTTTCTTTTTCCTCCCTCATCATTCAAATCTAATACGGGCTTTTTCTAATTTCACTTGGCTTCCAATTGATCTGTTGTTAATTTGTTGAGAGGAATATTGTCAATTTTGTCTGGAAAAGCTTAAAACATGATGATTATTAATTTGTTCGAGAGAAAATTGTTAATATGGAAAAAAGGGGAGAATTTGAGGAACATGAGTTGAAGTTATTGCCTCTCTCCCCCAATTATGTCTGCAGCTTGATTGGCTTCACTCATATGGGAGAGACGCAGGTAACGATGTTAGGGGCCATGTGTTGCTGAAAAGTCAGAAAAAAGTTAAAGAAAATAAAAAGATTAAAAAATCAAATTGGCTGACCATATACTTTACATGGCAATTTATAACCATTTGACCAAATTAACACTGTTAGCGTTTCAAAAAGTGATGGGTAATATCGGACTTTAAATATTTTAAAATATTATTGTATCTTTTCTAAAATGTTCGGGATGAATTTATATTCTAACCCTTAAAAAATTGACTCCTAATCTCCACCAAAAGAAAAAATCATAAGTATTACAAGATAATTCTCAGAGATGTCTTATTCCCTTTCATTTATTTTATTTTTTATTCAAATTATCCAGAATAATTAGTGTTTTGAAATATGAATACATATCATGTTACTGTGACATCCATGTGGCATGTGATGCACTAACATTTGACAAATTCCAAGGGATTTGACCTGTGTGAGGGAACCGTGGCAGCTTTATTTACTACTTAATTATTTTTTAATAATATAATTAGATGCTTAATTCTTAGACAGCTGTTAAATCAAATGTTCATGGGTGATTACCGATACTGTTTTGAAAGAAAACGACTGCCCCCTAAGTTTTAGCATTATCCGAGTTCATTGAACACAAAATCATATATTGTAGCATTGACTATCATTTAACTTCCTGCAAAAGACGAGAGAATCATGATTTCACAAATGGATTGTTTGAGATAAATAAAAAAATGTATTTATAATTGTGAAGAGCTCTTCCATTGCTAAGTTGTAAAATGTACATGTCATCAAATAGGAAAGAATATATCAATTGATATACCTACAAAACAAAAACATCTCAAGCCACACCTTTTAAATTTCTTATCAGACTTTTCTCTATTTTCACTGTTTATATAAACAGGAACGGCTCCATCAACCTGGCTCTGTGTTTGCTCTTTTTGACAAGCCATCTTTAACTCAATGTTGGCAAAGTTTTTGGTCCAAATATTCTGGTCAAATTACTCCTTCTAACAAAGAAACTTATCTTTCTCTTTCGTTTATCCTTTTCCTTCTTTCCTTTTTTCATTTATTTCTTTCTTTTTAAAAGATAAAATTTTCTCTCAACTAATTTTAATTTAAAACATAAACAATTTAGTATATATTAATTTTTTATTTTATCTTTTATATTTATTAATTTAGATATTTGTGTAAATGTATCTTACTTATTATAGAGAGTGTATTGATAATTGAGACTAAACATAAAATAAAAAATAATATATATTTTTATAAAAATAAAAATTTATTGGTATATGCATTTTAAAAAATTATTTATATTTTGAAAGGAGTATTTCTTTGTTTCATGACCCCTCCCTTTTTTCCTCTCTCCCTCGTATGCCTTCTCAGTGATCTTGACTTTTTATCTCACTCTATCGTGCCCCCTCTCCTCTTCTTTTTCCTTTCTTCTCCGCACTCCCGCACTCTCTTTGTCCTTGTTTTCCCACTTCTTTTATTTTTATACTTCTTTTTCTTCTCTCCTCCCATGTCATCTCTCTCCTTTCCGTATACTCAACCACCATTAAAGAAAAATCGTGCACAATCCGATAAGAGAATGATCAGATCATGCAAACCTCCTCCTCGGACAATCGGCCCTTTTCTTCTCCATCAACAATCGCAACACACACCATGCCAAACCACCCGAAGAGGTATAGTTTCAGATCTGGTCATGGGTTTATCTTGTGTAGTTCGCCAAATCTGTTAGCATTGCACGTCGCTCTTTCTCACCATTCTTCGCATTCTCTGTTTAGACTCAGATAAGGACATTGTGTTCAGCCCTCTATTCTTCCTACGCGTTTAGTTCCGATAGTTCCAAACCTCTCCTTTTAATCTCTCTATTGCATATGCATTTTATAAGATTTATAACTTCCAGACGATTTCCAATGGTGGATCGAATTTCTAGTTATGAGATAGGGAAACTCATTCTTTGGATAAATTTCATGTAGTTGGTAACATTTTGATAACTCTGGAGCATTTGATTTAGGGACTAATTTACAACCTATTAGTAAATTATGGAACCTTCTCATGCATTGCTAAAAATTAATGACTTCTTGTTTACACCTTTTAATTGTGACATGTGCTATGCCAACTTACCTAATGGGGGGTGTGAAGTTCGCTTCATGTCAGTTATGATAGAAATAGGTAACGTATTATCATTCTCTCTCTCCTTTAATATCTATTATTGGTTATCTTTATTTCTCCCATCCTCTTCAATCTTCAGATAATGACACAGAGAAAATTACCTCTATTATTTCTTTTTCATTTTTCTCTTTAAAAAACAAGGGCAGAATATGATAGTTTTTTTTTTTTGTTTCTACGACAAAATCAGGAGCTCCCTGATACTCCAATTCTGTTTTAGATTTAATGGTATGCTTATATGCTAATGCAAACAAAAGTTTTGTTTAAAACGTAAAGGTGGTTGAACTTTTGCCACTCCTTTGTTTTTTTCGGTTTTGGAGATGAGCTGGGTAACATCCTTTTGTAGAGGTCGCCATTAGTGCCTAATTTTTTTACTTCCTTCTTTGGCTATTGGTTTCCATTTTTGGATGATTATTCAACTGTCACATATGTTGACATATGATTGTTTCCATAACAAATATATGGATATGCTTATTTACCTTTTTGAGAAAGATGGTAATTTGTCGATTTTTTGAATTGTTTGTTTCAATTTATCATCACCTTTTGTTTGGGATCAACACCGAACCACGTTGTTTATATTTGTAAATTGTTCATCATGTTGTTTATTTTGTTTGCAAACTGCCTGGAAGAAGAATTATATTGAATACCTGAACCCATAATCTAGAATAGAGAAATTTGAGAATCATCTGACATTATTAACTCATATCATTTATATACTTTGCCATTTTGGGATTTGTTTGGTTTCATCCCTGTCCATCTTCCTGAGTGCTCTGTTTGCGCAATGTGAAGTATAGTCAAAGTCAGACTGAATATTAATTGAATCTCATCTTCAAATCCCCTGTTCTATTATGATTTTGTGCTATCTCTCCTACCTTCTATCCATCTGGAAGTTGGATATGTTTCATCATCAAGGCTTAGATTCGCAGTCCACAAGTTCCTGGTGAGTGATTTTGTGTGTGTGTGTGTGTGTAGGGCCTTAAAAAGGTAAAAGATCCCATCAAAGATTCATAGTACATTTAGGGAGACATAATACTGTTTGCCAAATGCAAAATGCAGTTCATGTTATTAATTGATCCTAGTAGGATGAAGGGGATGAAATATTTTTAAATTAGTATAGCTCAGTGGAGCTTCCTATTTTCTTTGTATTTTCTTCTACCATGTTTTTCACAGCCTTTTCAATACAATGTCATGAGAAGCTCCAAAGCCATTTTTGAAGACGTCCCTCGACATAGGTCATTCTTGTACATCAACATGACGGGATTCTTGAAGCGCACAACACAATAACTTTTATTACGTCCGTTTTTTTGCTTTTGTTTCCCACTATGTTCACACTGATTCATGTTTTATAAATGGGTGCTGCTCTTTTTATGGGGTAAAGCACAAAGAGGGTGTACCAAGCAAATATCTTTTCACATGGCTAGCCTACAACAAAAAAAAAACAATCTTTTTTGTAATTTCTAAGTTTTAAATTTCAAATCTCCTTCTTTTTTCAAGTTTTGAAAAAATGTTGATATGAGCTATGTCAAATATCATTTCCACTTACCTTTTCTCCCTTCTTCTCACGATCTCTCTCTCTTTGCTCTCCATCCATCAAAAGTTTGAAACCATTGATTTTTTTCTTTTAATGGCCTCATTTTCTCTCACAAATCACAGTTCATCGACCCTTTTGTGATCTCAAAGGGGCTAATATGCATGGTGTGTATGAACTTTAAACATAAAAAATTCAAAATTGCTCTTTTTCTCTCAACTGGATTGAAAACCTTTTGTTTGGTCAAAAGGGTAGGACTCGATCTATCTATAACTTTATTTTGAATCAATTTGAATGCACGTGGTTTGTTACCTGCATAATACTACAAGAGTAGTATTTGTTTTGCCATGTAAATGATGGCATAGAAATTTCCTATAAACACAAAAGCAAAAACTTATAATACTTATCGGCCTGTAAGGGCTTGGGTCTTTAAACTTGATTTCTCATTTTTTATCTCTTTTTTAAGGGTTGGTTATTTGAAGGGTTCAAGGCTTTTGAAAAAATTTAAAAAAATTAAGCATTATCAATTAATTAAAATATTTAAAAATTAAAAAAATTAAAATTTTCATAATCTTTTAGAAATTAAATAACACACATTTAAAAGTCTAGTAATAAAATTTAAATCTTAGTTAAAAAATAGTTCATCTTTTATAAATACACAAACATAATAATTATAAAAAAATAAAAAATATTAAAAATTTTATACTATAAACTGATATTTATAAATTATATTAAATTAATTTTAGAATAAATTAAAATTAATAATAATACAATGATCAAGGCTTCAGGCAAGCAGGTTCTTGGCTTCAAACGTGTGTCACAAAAAAAAATTAATAATAATATAACAAGACTTAAAGGACTGTTTAGACCCGACCCCCTTTTGTATAGGGCTTATTAGAGCAAATCCTCAAGCCCGGTACTTTAAAAAATTATTTTTAAAATCCAAACTCATTTAAATAGAACCTCCAAACTCACCACTTATTTTTAGCTTTAGATAGCAGCCACAATAACTTCTTGGAGATGAGAAAAAAATTTATAGTTAAAAGGACAGTAAGAGATAAACATGAGGAGTACAAATTTTCACGATTTGAGGCTAAAGCATCTAGTCTATGATGGTCAACATGTTTAACTTTTGGTCATTCATAGATGTCGAAAAAATCACTGGCGGAACACCATGTTATATGACGTATTCTTTTTATAGTTTCGATTTCTTTCTAAGGCTTTTCATTTCATTTTTCCCTTGATCTATTTGTTTTCTTTCAGACCCCAAATAAATTCCATTTTTCCTCTTTTTAGGCTTGAAGGAAATGCCTAAAAATTCATAGTATGTGTTAAGTGCAAAGGGGTTTGTCAGACCCAAATTCAAGGGTTATATGAAAAGGGGTTTGCCTCAACAATTTTATGGTTCTCTTGATGCTTGCATGGTAAAGTGCAAATACAATTGTTTGTTGGAAGATTTTCTGGAGTTGCTGAAAGTTAGAGTTCTATTTAGTTGCTTTAATTATACTTTCGATTTCCATAGTATGTGTTCTATGCTATATTTTGTCTCAGGGCTTACATTATGCTTTTTGATTCTAAAAGTCCTCATTTTTAATTCCAAAGTAATTCCATTAAAGTGAAATATTTTCAGAGGGAAGTGAATTGTTTTGTGTGTGGTTCAAAATTTTTGCATGGTTACCTTGAGGGATTCTAAAATGTCCCCATTTTAAACTTTTTTTGTGTTACTTCATTATAGTTGGCCTAAAGATTTTTATGACTCTTATCCAAATATTTGAAGGCCTGGCAACCATAGAAGTATTTGAAGGAATGAAGTGGGAAGAAGATATTTAGGTTTGGTTGGGGTATTATCTTCTCCAGTTTGCATTGATTTTAGACCAGGAGCTGGAATTCATTACTAACGACAACAATGTGACCGGACTTTGTTAAAAAAGAAAGGTAAATTGTAAACTCAAAAGCAGGAGAGAGAAATACTAGTAGAAGATAGGTATGAAACACAATGAGTTCTTTTGCGGGTATTGTATTTTATTATTAGTTTCTATATAACTTGTGACTCTGCATTCCGTCCATGGATCAGGTAGGACAATGCTCTCTAACGTTAGCTTGCCAGAAGAACCTTGCTTTAAACCCCATGATCTCTGTAAGTTTGCACAAGTCCCATTGTTTATTTTTGTATTTCTATTTTAATTGTCTTAATTATGAAATATAATGTATGGATGTATATGGATTTTTTTAGTTAAGTTTGCTTCTTTGACTCTCTATTTTAGTTTAGAATATATATTTGTTTTGAGACCTCTGGCTCGTGCTTAGAGTTATAGAAAAAACAAGGTTTTAATGTCACACAAGCAAGTGTAAACCTTAAAGTCCATGCCAAAAGGTGAAAAAGTACATATTAGCCTTAACCAAAGTCTGCTAAAGTTGGAAAGGGTGAGAGGCAATTCTAAACTTGATTCCGACAACTTGAAAATGCAATTTTTGAACTTTAGCTTCTAAGATCATACTTTTGTTACCGCCAATATCTTTAGATCCTAATAGCCTATAAAATATCTGACCAGTAGTATACATGAATATTACAGGTACCTCTCGCACATGTCAAGAGGTGGAGTAAAAATAGGGCTTGGCCATATCACAAACCTTGAAAGATGTGTCCAAATGTGAAAAAGCAAGTACGAAAATTAGCTAAGTGGATACGAGTATAGGCTGCATTGAAAAGTAGAGTTGTTTTGAGAGGTTTTATAAAGCATTGCATTCAAATCTACGTCCTCAAACTATATTGATGTCAAGTACGTAATCAATGAACCCAGTGTGTCCCTGGAATTTAAAAAATAAAGTCTGATTGTATAAACCAAGTTACTTGAAAAATGCTGATGAGTAATGTGCTTGTATGGTGATATAGTATATAGTTTTAAGATGTTGAATTTAAATGAGGATATTTTTTACAACTTAATTTCATTCTATCAAATAAATCTGTATGATTAATTCAATGAAAAAATAGAAAGTGGACATAAGAGGAAATTAATCTGTCTGTATTATGGCAAGTGCTGGATCTTAATTATTTTTCTATGGCTACTAAATCACTACCACTGTGTTATATGTTGAGTGAGAGATATATGATAACTAATAATTAATAGGTGCTCGTAGGAAAAGCCGATGATTAGATGCAAGTGTTTTGTATTATTGTTCGGTGGGTGAGATGTCTACCACAGGGACTTAAAAGGCAAGCCATTGATTTTTTATTTTTTTTTTATTTTGTTTTGTTCTGGTGGGAAAGAGGTGTGGGGTACTGACGCGGCTTTACTGACACAGAGGAGAGTATAAGCAAAGGTATGAAATATTAGTAATGGTTGCCCTATAATACGTGTTGCGGTTGTTTCATTTATATCGTTTACTGTGCATTATATTACATGTAGAGGTATGAGATGCTTACTCTATCCTTGACAGTAGCTGACATGCTCTGATCTAACTTGTATTTAAAAGAAGAATGGATTACATTAATGATTTGTCTTATTGGAAATTGTACTTAATGATTAACACATTATAAACTGACGTGTGTTAATGCTCGTCCTTTCATACTCTTGAGAAAAGGAAAAAATGAGATGTATCAATGTGGAATAATTTTCTGAAGCTAAACTCCGCGGGAGACCTTAAAATCCCTATCAATTGATTATATATTGTTCAGCTAGTAAGATTTTACTTCTCCTTTTGATTGACATGTCTTTCTATGTTAATGTTCCCATGAATGTCTTCTAGATATACTTAACTACAAAAAAATTATGCTTAGATATATATTACTTATTCTCAACAGTTTTTCGATTAATGAAGTATTAGGATCAAAATTAGCTCCTGCATAAAACAGTATTCCATAGTGCAACCACAGCAAAGTTCTTTCATGTCTCAAGTATTGCTCTCTTTACAATGCATAATAATGATCAATAGATTTTTATATATCATTTTCCTACTTACATAATGAAATTGTGCATTGGTTTAAAAAAAGCGTGGGACTCACATTTTTGTAAGGTCATTGTAAAAGGTGTGTAAGGTCTCCCTTACTGGCTACTCTCACATTAATTGCGACAATCAAGGTAATCAAGAGATTCACTCCAAAATAATTAACAAATTTATAAGATTTATAAAAGTGAAATATCAAGTTTTCATGATTTAAATATACCCATATAAACATATTTACGAGAATCAGAGTAAAACAATCTTTACAGAAGCATGGGAATTCATTTGTATATATATATATATATATATATTATTTTTGCAAAAGAAGTTAAAAGTCACCATTTAGCCAAATAGTAAGATGCATCGCAACTCACTGCAGATGGCTGCGGCTCTTTAGCCTCTATGCCATGCACCACAAAGCATTATAACAAAATTTGATAGCTCTTAGAGCAAACTTTCAATACATCCTAAATATTCATCTGACGTCTAATTGAGGTGATCTAGATATCTATATAGAGCTTTCTCCTGACTTTATCTAATGGCACTGATTTCACAATCAAATCATTTTCAATCAAATATTGAACATCCTTTTTACAAAACTCCCTCCTTTTTCATAATATCATACAACTAGGGTGTCTATTTCCCAATACAAGTGCCAAAAGCCTATATTAATCTCTAGACTCTACCTAACAGACTATAGTGTGTACTCATTAACTTACTAGAATAATCAATAATCACTACTACAAAAATCTTTTTATAGCGATTAAAATGACTTTTTATAGCGGTTAAATAGGTGGTGTTGTTACAGGAGATGTAGAAAGTTAGACTTTCTACATGGGTTATACGACCGCTATATAAAAAATACATATTCTATGTCGGCTAACAATAACTGATGTAGAAAATAGTTCAATGATTCAAAAAATTAAAAAATGGAGCACTTTTTACACCGGTTGGGGTTCCAACCGCTGTAGAAGTCCACTTTCTACACCGGCTGGGTTCAAACCGCTATAGAAAGTAGACTTTCTACACCGGCTGGGTTCCAACTGCTATAAAAAATTGCTTTATTTTACACCAGTTTTTATATTAACCGAGGTAGAATATAGTTTTTACACCGATTATAGTAATAACCGCTGTTAAAAAGTATATTTTGTTTTAAAATAAACAACTATATTTTTAATTTACCCTACTCTGTACACAAAAATTACCACAGCCAAATTAGACAGCGCAATTTATTTACAATTTTGAATAGAAAATAAATAAACAACTAGCCAAAACTCAAAGTTATCTATAAACTATCTAAGAACTATATATTGAACTATCCAAAACATTGTGTCAATAAATGTTTTCAAAAGTTATCTATAACTAGCAAACTTCTTAAATTGTACAAAATTTTTACAAAACACACAAATTCTCCCCAAAATAAGTTGCCCAACGTATGCGATCAATTTCAGCTTCGGGGAATGGATCTGAATTGTCAAAACATTTAAAATATAATTTGTAAAAGAAACTTTTATGTACTCTTAAATAACATAATAAAATAAAACTCTTAAAAATATATTAACCTCTTTTGTAAATTCAGTCATACCCATGTGATAATGTTGAGCATATGTCTCATGACATATAGGCCGCACAAATTCATCCTACTAGTGTCTACGGCTCTGTATAAGAATAAATCATAAGAAATCAATAAAAAAATCTTAGTAATTGAACATATTCATAAGCTATAGCATTACCTTTGACTCGATCCATGTAGGATCTTGAGCTCATGTCCGTGCTTTTGCAAAGACCATATTTTGATATGTTTTCATTACTCTATGTTCAAGATCACCAAGTTAGTAACTAAATATTTAGTGTAAATTATATAAAATATTTTTGCACAAATATACTAACGCGTCTAGTTGTCTTCTTCATTTCCTTCCCAAGTTTGTTTGTAATGGAGGGAACATAAAAAGACAATAGTGTTGCTCTTCATTGAAAAAGAACAAACAAACTGCCAATGGTCCCTGTAAAATATGACGAGTTAAAGTAAATCTACATCAAAAAAACTATTAATTACAAATTGATCTTTTTTCTTCCTCTCTTCTTAACTTCACATATTTTCAGCTAGATAACCCTGAACTGGAGATTCTCTTTTCTGTTAGTCATTTTTCAAAAAAAGAATTTATTTAAATGTTGAAAGTGAAGTAACTAACTAATTAATTAATTAGATCATTAGACTGACCCAATTAAGTTAATTAACATTCAAGATCTTCATCAAAATGTATGTGTGGAGTGGAAGCTGACTCTGACAAAAACTCTAGCAAATCTCTTAATTCTCCTATCATTCCTTACCCACAACCTGTATTTCTCCAATCTTGAATTAGAATGAATGGCAATCTCGTTAGCTGTGAGCTACAATTAAAACACAAGATGATAATTAGTAATTTAACAATGATATTTCACTATATGCATAAATTAATTATGTACCTAAATACTTTCCCATATCTGGTCCTTCACATGTTCTGGCACATCAGACTAGTTCTTAAATACAATAGGGGGCTTGGCACGAGATAGGAGGCTAAGAAAACTAATAAACTTGGCCTTATGTTCCCCTATCGGATTCCATCTCCGATTAAATTGAATTGGTAACCTCTGCCCAGCACTCCTACTTAATGTCAAATCTCTCAATTGTGTGCCATGTCTACCTCTCCTCATAGACTGGCTCTCACTAGGGGTACCCTGACTTGAGTCATCACTAAGTAGCTGGCTAATAGTGGGCTGGCTTTAAGTGTCATCACCATGTTCACTCTGATACTCCATGTTCCTATTAATTCATATAGATTAAATTAATTAGAAAAATGAACAAATATAAGATAGTTAGAAACATAATATAAATTTAATTGAATTTAGGAAACATACTTTAATTGAAAAACTAAATTCATATAGGGATATTCTCCCATATCCCTTCATGGTGATCATTTCTTATAGCATGTTCGTCATCTACTTCATCTACTACATTCAAAATTTGTAGCCTTGATGAGAAAGTAGGGGTTTCAGAAATATCGAAGCTTGATTCTTAATTATCATCACTATCAATCACCATTTTTTCCTTTCAGTGCTATTGACCAATTTTTATTTTCTGGATCTGTCACATAAAAAAACTTGTTTAGCTTGGTCTGCCATGATAAATGGCTCATCCCCATAAGTTAGTTTTTTAATATCAACCATTGTAAATCCTAACTTATTATCATAAACACTGTTGATGTCAACCCATTTGCATTTGAAAACAGGAACTCTAAATTTTGTATAATCAACCTCCCAAATCTCTTCAATAACCCCAAAATAAGTCCTTGCTGCTAGTTTAGGTTTCTTATCTTTTGAGCTAGAGAAGTGAACGACTTCAACCACTATCATAACCCCAATATTTTGCACTGTGCTCTTTTCATCCAAGGACTTTGTGTAAAAAGAATACCCATTAATATCATGCGCACTCCAACATATAACATCAAAGTTAGGACCTCCTGCCAACCATTTAATTGTATCAGAAACGCTACTTTCATTCAAAACTTTCTGCTTGAACCAATCTACAAAAGTCTTATTATGCTCTTTTAACAACCTTTATTCAGTCATTCTTATTCGATAATTTTCTGCCTTTAGAAGTTTTTTGTGAAAAGAAATGTATTCTTTAACTTCATTAATATTATTTAAGATATATAAATGTACTTCTTGTAATTCATCATGACTCATGCTCTTTACTGATACTCCACGTGTGCCTTGACCTAATTGCCTCTTCTCACGACGAGATTTAGGAAGTTCAATTGATTCTGTACTTGACAAGTAATTAGAACAAAATTTCATGGTTCCTTCAGTAACATATTTTTCAACTATCGATGCTTCAGGTCAATATGCACCGCTGTAGAAAACTATTTTTCTACAGCTGGTGGAAGCCACCCGCTGTAGAAAATCGTATGTCTACAGCGGGTGTCCATGTACATGCTGTAGAAAGTATTTTTAACAGTGATTGCCTTTTTACCCAGTGTAAAAACTATAATACGCGTTGTCAAAATTACAAAAATGTCACCGCCTTAACTTTCTTCATCGTTTGCCTTTCAACCGATGTAAAAAGTGCCCCTTGAATTTCATATTTTGTACTAGTAAATACATATACCGCTTGCACAGTATAACTTAAATATATCACTTTTGTAACATCCAAAAAATTCTAACCTTGGTTTATTAACCTAATTAGGGTAATTAGTGAATTAATGAGGTGTGTGGTTGGAGGGGCTTAACTTGGCATAATTGTTATGATTTCAACCCTAGAAGTAGGCCCGGATCAATAGCGGGTCACCCGGGCAAGGAAAGAGGAAGGAAAGTTAAGCATTGTTTTCTATGCCACACACCGTGACGTGTGGTTGGTCCGCCGCGACATACAAAGACAAATTTAAATGTAATGAGCTCCTTTGTGCCATGTACCATGGTGAAAGACAACGTGTGCCACAATGCACTACCAAAAATTAGATATATCTGATTCATTCTGCACGTGAAAACAAAAGAGAAAAGGAA